CCCACCCACCCTTTCCTTGCCATAAGTATCCCACACTACCATCCGTCTTCCTCAAATCTGGTTCGTAATTAAACTCTGAATTATGGCCGGAGAAGAACATCTCCTGTCAACAGAGATTGTCAACCGGGGGATCCAGTCGTCGGGACCCAATGCTGGATCCCCGACATTCTCCGTCAGGGTCAGACGACGCCTGCCGGAGTTTGTCCAGTCTGTGAACCTCAAGTACGTGAAATTGGGATACCATTATCTCATCAACCATGGGATTTATCTCGCCACCGTGCCGGTGCTGGTGCTTGTGTTCGGTGCCGAGGTCGGAAGTCTCAGCCGGGAAGAGCTGTGGAGGAGGCTCTGGGACAGCACTGCAGGCTATGATCTAGCCACAGTGCTTTCTTTCTTTGGGGTTTTCGTGTTCACCCTCTCTGTTTATTTCATGTCTCGTCCTCGCTCCATATACCTTCTTGATTTTGCATGTTACAAACCCCATGATGATCTCAAGGCAAGTACCTAACGATTATATCCTCTCTCTCTCTCGCTCTCTCTCTCATACACAAACACACACCTTTTTTATACCTGGCTGGCTGGCTGGCTGGCCACGATACTAAGTTCCTTTAAACGAACAAGGAAATTTTTAGTCTCAACGTCAAAAGACCCATGGCAATGGATGGATGGGCATGTTCACAACTAGCCCGCTTCCTACGTACTATTCAATCCAGATCTTCTCGCGCATGGTTTAGAAAGTCATTGATTGGTGACTAAAACACTAGAAATGGTACTATTTGAGCTTATTATAAAGGGAATAACACTTTTTTGGGCCAAGCAACTAAAATAATTAATAACCGTTGGGCTCCCACTTCGGATTTCATCTCGGTAGTTTCCACTCTCTGTCAAGCTAGGGTGGAGTCGTGGTAACAAAAAGAATTCTGACAAGTTCTCAATTCACACGTTGATTTTGTGGCAATTTTTTATGAGTAATACTATGGAGACCTAATTTATTGATATAATTTAATGACTTAATTCATTATGACATTTGAATTAAATATAGATCACATCAAATATTGAAACTTGGTGTTGATCCAATAATTTTTATGATATTATATCTTTATTTCAGTAAATTATGTCATATTTTTATGTCCAAATAACATTATTCAATTTTTATTGAGTGCGTATACCACATTACACTATCACATGATGTATTAAACCCACTTTTGACAATTTTTCTTAATTCTGTTCTAGAAAGTGGGACTTCAAAACCCATGTGTATTGATTTGATTCAAAATTAGGACATTTCACTATTACAATAAGGAAAATACTATAACCAACGTCACAAATGTGCATGGCCACGTCCATGGCAGGTATCAAAGGAGCAATTCATTGAGTCGGCACGAAAATCAGGAAAATTCGACGAGGTAAGCCTAGAATTCCAGAAAAGAATTCTCCAGTCCTCCGGAATTGGGGACGAAACCTACATCCCCAAAGCCGTGATGTCGCTGGAGAATTGCTCCACCATGAAAGAAGGCAGAGCAGAAGCTTCAATGGTGATGTTCGGAGCCCTAGATGAGCTCTTTGAAAAGACCCGTCTCCGGCCAAAAGACGTCGGTATTCTAGTAGTGAATTGCAGCATCTTCAACCCTACGCCGTCGCTATCCGCCATGATCATCAATCACTACAAGATGAGAGGAAACATTCTCAGCTTCAATCTCGGAGGAATGGGATGCAGTGCTGGGATTATAGCTTTGGATTTGGCTCGTGACATGCTTCAGGCCAACCCTAATAACTATGCGTTGGTGGTGAGCACTGAGATGGTGGGTTACAACTGGTACCCTGGAAGTGAACGATCCATGCTTATCCCTAATTGCTTCTTCAGGATGGGTTGCTCCGCCCTGCTCCTCTCCAACCGCCGCCGCCACTTCAGCCGTGCCAAGTATAGGCTTGAACACATCGTTCGTACCCATAAAGGCGCTGATGATCGCTGCTTCAGGTTTGCTTCCTATACATTACCAGTAACATTTTTTTTTATGAACATCTATTACTAATAACACACAGACATTTTATGCATACGGGAAATACATAAACAATTAGGTCCTTATATTTGATACAAAATTAGGTCAAAATAATATTTTTTCTCTATAATATTTTATTTAGGCAAAAACAATTTTAGAATATCACTCTTTCTGTCTAGAACTCTTTCACTTTATAGATTGGAACGTGTATCGTGTTGTATTTTATCTTTGCATTGATCAATCCTTTTTAAATTCATTGTATTAAACGTATAAAAGGCCTTGACACTAATTTGACTAGTCTATTAATCTTAAACATATTACTGTTAATTCGAGAAACGTTTAATTAAAAAAAAAAAAAAAAATTGCGAACCTTCAAACTAAAGACTAGGATTCTAGTCTCTTCCTCTCTCAATCAGACCCATTATCCTCAAGTCCCTTATAAACAAAAGCAAAAAAAAAAAAAATTCAAAAAAATCCCAGATTAAGAAATATTTTTTTTGGAAACAGATATTGTTTGTAAAAATCAGGTTATTTGAGTTTAATAGTGACTAACCATTTTGTTACTTGTACTAACAAATTGGCTCGTTTTTAATTTCATGTTAAGAATTTATCAATCGAATAAATTATTTTTGGACTGAATTTTTATCGTATCAAAAGTTATCGCTCCTAAATAAAGATCTTTGTATAAAATTTAGGATTCCCCCAAGCGTACTAAAGTGTATTCCCACACGAGCACAAGTCATCATGGTTTAGACTTTTTTTTTCCAAATAAAGACATGAGCCCCTGTCAATTGAAACAAAGGTAAGATTGTGAGTCCAATCAAATTATTCAAGTTTGACATATAATCGACTTGTTTGAAATCGACAGAGGGATACAATCAAATTAAGCTAAAGATTCTTTCAAAAGATTAACTTATTGAACTCGGCTCGAACTCCGCACAACAAGCTAGCTATATAAAACGAGTTAATTATGCTTAATTTGTGGATTGGCTCGGATAGAGACTTGCCCCAATTTGACTCTTGAAATTAATTTTCCGTTATGTAGCTCATTCAAATTTTGAGCACAAATTGAACAACTTACGACAAGATTCATTTTGACTTACTATAGCTTGTAAGTAGGGATGTCAATTATATTGGGTTCATATGATCATATCAAAAAATGTTTCATTAATAGTTAATTAATTTATTAATTCGTGTCTAACGAATGATATTATATTGGGTTTGTGTTGTATATGAATAATGTATAATCGATATATAAATAAGTTGTGTCATGTATTTTTTTTAAATAATTTTACTTATACTTAATTCGTTTATTAATCGTGTCGTATTAAGTCTAGTCGTTTATATAACTGATAGTTTAAGAAAATTCAAAATCATCTAATTTTGTGTTTTGTTGATGAATCGTGTCATATTTTAACACCCTTAATTGTAGATATTGACACCCCTACTTGGAAGTGGCGAAGCCATAGTGAGACACCCTGCCTTCTGAAAAATTATTTTCTAATCCTTCATTTTTTTTAAAGTACAATGTTACAAAATATGGGCCTTCTCAACTCTATGGTGTACTATTTTCACTCTTGATTGGCATTCTAGTTTTGATTTCTTGGCTTCGTCTTGAAGTCACCCACAAGAAAATGAATGGAGTAACCATATAGTTTTGATATTTGCAATAAGAGAGGTAATGAGGATTGAACTTGTAACCATATTTAATTGGGAAGCATGACGGATGCGATAGCCACATTTTTATTTTCTGACAGAACAAGGTTAGGGGCCCGGCGGAGCTAGAAATTATGTTTAGGTGAATACTTTACTTAAAAATATTAATTTTTTTTCTTATAATCAATAAAAATAAAATAATATATTTAAATTTACTATATTGTATTCGATACTTAAAAAATCATAAAATACGAAAAGAGTGAAATTTTGATAAATATAGAATACATAAATAAAAACAAACAAAAAAGAGAGGATAATTATACCCCTTCATAACAAATGAAGCAAAACGCATAGAAGATATTATAATATTTCTACATATAAATGATCAAACTATTAGTCATTGATCACTTATTTAATTAAGTAATTTAGTTGTCATAATCTCTATAGCTTTTTTTTTTTTTTAATTGGAATCTCTATAGCTTAAAAAAAATGAATTTGATATGTCAAACTTATATAGATGTATCCTTAAAGTGAATCAAAAAATTCATAATTATTTAAGTACGAGGACTATACTAATTGATAAAACAAAAAATAATATAGTGAATCATTTAAATATAATTCAAATTATTTGAATTATATATAAGTAATATTTTTTAAAAAAAATTTAAGGGTGGGCACGTGCTTCTGTCCTCAAGTGGCTCCGCCCTTGGGTAGAGGGAAGGGGGGTTTGAACCTGGGGCCACGTGCGGGTGGGATCCATCCAATTACCACACCATCCCATCTCTTCAGGTGGCCACATTTATGGATTCCAGCTATAAAGAAGCACCCAACAGCCCAAGTTTGGTTGTAGTAGTAAAATAATCTGCTTCCAACTAATAATAGGTATCCATTTATTTCGGATGAGTCCCCAACCGTCTATTAAATGATGTTTGGCCTGCTGTGCTGTGAAACCAGCTTTATCTGTCATACTAGTTGTAACTATTTATTGGACCTGGTTATTGATTGATAGACAATCGAGGCTAACTTACTGGTAGGAGTGGGAGTAGGTAAGTTAGTCTCGATCCAATAGCATACAGGATCTAAAGTGGATCGATGTCCAATTTTCTGACCCATTACTAGGTGTACACAGGACAACCCAGGCAAGTTTGAAAGGGCATGCCCCCACGTAAGTGCATTTCTCTCTATTTCAACCACCCACGGATCTTAATGTTAAATCAAGCCCAACAGTTTAGGATGAAAAAAAATAAAATGAAAAATTTGCCACCAGAATCCCAAAGAAATACGGAGGTCAACTTTAATATATACCTGGATGATGGAAAAGGACCAACAAGTTGTTCTTAGACATTTTAGTAATCCATATCTTAAGTGGGATCCACTATTTATAAGTGGCCCCTCACCCATACATTATAGATGATTTACTATTAAGCGAAAGTGTATTAAAAAAAATACTTCACAAACAAAATATTTATTAAGCATTACCGTGTCGAATTATGTGATAGTGGCATTTTTAAATACATCATTTAGGTTTTAAATTTATAGATCACTTACTATTAATACACATAGAATCCACTATTTACATATACCATGCGTGATTCAATGGCAGAGTCAGGAGAACACAGCTCTCCCTGGATTAGTTCAACTATTCCTTCATATGGTTTTCAAAATAGACCATTCTTTCATATTATTATATTCAATTTTTGCCATCTTATACTGTTTCTTCTATCAGTTTGTGTAGACTCATACCCATTTGTTTCCCATTTTGGACACAGCTTTGGACACAGCCTTGCCAGTTGTGAAGATCTTAATTCACTTTATAATTTTCCAATAAAAGCTAAGACATCATTTTATTATGGTACAAAAATTAGGGTTATCGTGTGATAGTTTTGTTGTTTATATAGAGAATGATATTTTTATAAATCGATAGCAAAGATATTATATACTGCAATATAAAAATTTGTATGGATCAATTTGAAATAGTTGTAATTAATCTTATTTTTTGTAAAAAATAAGTTTAGACCTAAAAATTTAACATAATTTACTAGTCTAATTATGTGCCAAGTGATATAGTCTCAATAAAAAAATTTTAAAAGTTACACAGCTGCAATAATCTCATTTTGATCATGTCGGTCGCCACATAGTTAGGTCAATTTTTTTTTAGATGACAATAACATTGCTCGATTTGTAAAAAGTTGTAATTAACCTCCTTTTGATTTATTTTTTGTTTGTTTACATGTTAACATTTTGTGTTTAATGAATCTTTTGAGTATTACATATGAAGCAAGTAAAAATCAGTAGATTATCTTACTTTAACCAATCCAGATCAAAAAAATTGTTAACCAACTAACCCAAGAGTGCCCACCCAAGATAATATTTTTTACTCCGACCTTGGCATGAGTTATTATTGAATGAAATTGACCGACAGTGTAAGGGAGATGATTGGAATCCTTACTTTAGAAACTTGTTTACAGTGACATTATGTGAGAATGAACTACGGATATACGCAAATGCAAAAAAAAAAATCAAATAAAGGGCCAATTGCTTTGAAACTACTTTTGTGATTGTTAAATTGGTGTAATCCTTTGATCAGGAGCATCTATCAAGAGGAAGATTCTCAAAGGTTGAAGGGACTCAGGATCAGCAAAGAGCTGGTGGAGATAGGTGGCGATGCACTCAAGACCAACATCACCACACTTGGTCCCTTGGTTCTGCCCTTCTCGGAGCAGCTCATCTTCTTTGCAACCCTAGTCTGGAGGCACTTGTTTAGCTCTAGAGGTGCCTCGCAGCGGCCCCCAGTGAAGCCATACATTCCGGACTACAAGCTCGCGTTTGAGCACTTCTGCGTGCACGCAGCAAGCAAGACGGTGCTGGACGAGCTGCAGAGAAACCTTGAGCTGAGCGACAAGAACTTGGAGGCGTCTCGGGCGACTCTGCATCGGTTTGGCAACACTTCCAGCAGCAGCATTTGGTACGAGTTGGCCTACATGGAAGCCAAGGGGCAGGTCGGGAGAGGTGACCGTGTTTGGCAGCTAGCTTTCGGGTCTGGTTTCAAATGCAACAGTGCAGTTTGGCGTTCAATGCACCGTATCAAGAGGCCCTCCAGGAATCCCTGGCTTGATTGTCTCCACAGGTATCCCGAGGCCCTCTAAGCCAAAAACGGCAATTCTATCTATCATTCTCTTTTGAATACACTCTGACAAGAGTTGCGTGTACTGTACTATTTTTTTTTTTTAAGTTTGTAATATAAGTTGATCTCGAGTGCTTTTGAATTTCTCAGATTCTGATAAGTTATATGGTCAAACTTTGCCTAAATTTACATGTATATGGCTATGTTTATCGTCATTTTCTATGTTGATCTCTGGCAGGCCAAAGTTATGTATTTCTGCAATGTTTCATTCTCATGAAGAGAAAAGAGACCAATTTTTCTTCACTTTCTCTAAAAATTACAGTTAAAACACCCTCCTATATTTGGAGCTTTATTCTGCTACTAAATTGTCTTTATTTGGAGTTTGTTATATGTATGGTAATGGAGATGATGGGTTGGTGATGGGATTACAGGTGGGTTATGAAGGGTTATAAATTGCTTTTGTAGCCCATATGTAGCGTAAGTGACATAATTTTGATGAAACGAATAGCAAGTTCAAGTTGTTTTCTTCTTTTCAATTCTCATTCAATTATTTAAAAGTGGAAAAATATATATTTTGAAACAAAATCTATTTAGAGTAATTCTAACAAGTGGTATAAGAGCTCGTGTGATCTTAGAAGCGTTAACTGATCACGATCATGGTGGTCAAGGAAAAAAGACTAATACTTTTTAATGTGGTGAGTTCATGTTCTTTAGCTGCGGCAGTTTTCAACATGATGCATTCATGCAACATGAACATGATTAGGAGTGTGCAAGAATTCAAAAATTTGATTCCATCTCCGCCTTCGCCTCCGTCAGAGTTGGAAGAAATTTGCAAACTCCAACTGGATTTGGAATTAGAGTCAGAGTTGGAGTTTGTAGTCCATTTTGAAAATTTGACTTTTTTTAATTAATAATTTTTTATAAATTATAAATTATATAATATATTATAATATAATTATAAAAATATAAAAACCATCCCAACCCTAAAATCCCTATTTCACTCATTCTAATCGTGTCTCTCTCTCTCTCTCTTTGTGTGAATGTCGAGCACGACCGGTGACGACCACCACTCTCTTTCTCGATGGGCAACGATCACACCCTCTTGGTGGTTTATGGTTGACTAATTCTCAAGACGAGCCAAAAATGACACAATTCACTCACAAATAATGAAANATTCTCTTTCTCGATGGGCAGCGATCACACCCTCTTGGTGGTTTATGGTTGACTAATTCTCAAGATGAGCCAAAAATGACACAATTCACTCACACAAATAATGAAAGCTTTGGGTTAGTATGAAACATGTGCAACTCGATTTTGACATGATAAACCATTTTAACTAAAATTGTGTAAAGAAAATGTATGATTTATTGTTTCTTGATCAATTANTGTCTCTCTCTCTCTCTCTTTGTGTGAATGTCGAGCACGACCGGTGACGACCACCACTCTCTTTCTCGATGGGCAACGATCACACCCTCTTGGTGGTTTATGGTTGACTAATTCTCAAGACGAGCCAAAAATGACACAATTCACTCACAAATAATGAAAGCTTTGGGTTAGTATGAAACATGTGCAACTCGATTTTGACATGAGAAACGCTTTTAACTAAAATTGTGTAAAGAAAATGTATGATTTATTGTTTCTTGATCAATTATTGTATGAATGCCTATAGAATTATTACTTAAGTTTGCTTGCATAAAGATTGGTGAATTTTTAATTTATGAAGAGCCTATGGATGGTGGGTTTGGTTGAGAAATAAATGAGTCATAGATTTAGATTTTTATTTTGTGAGTTATCTATGCCAATTCATCCACGACACAATTAATAGACATATCAAATCTGATATGACTAATAAAGTGGGCTGGATTAAAGTTAATTAGTACTTAGCATGAATTCAAAATGACATAATTTAGACACAATACAACACGATTCGATTGTTACCCCTAATATTCTCTATTTGCTAAATGTTGGGTATTGTTTTCAATTCCTACTTCAAAATATGAGATTTATGTGATGCAAATATATTAATGTTGACCCAAATGCAANCATAATATTCTCTATTTGTTAAATGTTGGGTATTGTTTTCAATTCCGACTTCAAAATATGAGATTTATGTGATGCAAATATATTAATGTTGACCCAAATGCAACCTAAGAGGGGAAGAGGGTAAACTAGGCCGTACATATTTTGTTTTCTTATAATTTTACTAATTGTGAAATGTGCNAACCTAAGAGGGGAAGAGGGTAAACTAGGCCGTACATATTTTGTTTTCTTATAATTTTACTATTTGTGAAATGTGCTTGCTATTATGTTTATGTGATGGTGAGGTCAATAATCAATACTATTTAAAAACATGACATGTGCGTGAATGTTTATTACCATTATTTATCTCTGTATTTGCTTTTGAATTAGTCGTTTGCACTTAAATAATTTGCTAGTTTGATAACACATTATTAGCCTGAGTCTCTAGCCGACCGAAACAACTGATTACTACTGTAGTCACTGCCAAATAATCTCTCATATCTGAAAGGTTAAATTGAGTAATATAGATATATTCATTTTAATTTAAACACCACACATGTTATGATAAAACATGATGTAGGTGTTCGTTATTCTATCTTTAATTCTAATTATTGCTTGAAACACATAAATTATGTACCGTACTACACAAAATATTTTGTATAAATTGTGTATCTGCAATAAATAAAGGATTTAATATAAATTAAGTTCCTGAGGAACATAAAAAATATAGTACTTGAAGTACATAGAAATTTACTATACTCTTATCTACTTGAAGTTTGTAATCTATTATGATACTAGAATATCACAATTTAATTGTAGAGCCTAAAGCTGTAAATTATTAAATGCGTAGAATTGTGTTAGCAGCACTTGAAATATTAATTAATGCATATAATATTTTCTCATTATATTCATGCATATTTATATATTTATCTATAAGCCTATCCGAGATGGTTAACTTTACCTTAAGAGATTAGAGGTAACCGATTCTAATCCGATATCTAACATTTGTAATAATAATATTTTTTATTTAATCTTGATGATGCAAACTAACGTGGGTGAATAGAGTGCATGGGACCAAAGGTGAATCTAGGCTGCCAATTTCATAATGACAGTGATGAAGTGTTTCTTAGGGGGTAGGGAAATTTGCACAGTAGGAATATAGTGGTTCATCGGCTCTGGAGCTTGGCTAATCCACTCTCTAATGGAGGCTCTTGCTTTTTTATTTTTTTTTCTATTGATTACTTGAATGTATTACCGTACAATGAATGATCTAATTATGGTTTTTATAGGGTCCTCCCTCTCTCGATGAGGCGTTATATAGTATTTATAAGACTACTCCCTATTCTGTAGGATTTTAGCCGAGATTTTTGTCAATTATTCATGGGATCTTCCTTGATTTTAGGAGAGAATCTTGGTTGGTTGAAAGTTTCATGCATTGGGCCCAATTTTCACAATCATCCAACTGTTTTCTGATCGGTTCTACTACGATCTCCTCAAGGGGAGCTCTACTCCTGGTTCTCTGAGTTCTCCGTGTCTTTCTTGATCTCGTGACCTAACCTCGTGACCTGACCTCATTTCCTGAGCTCACAGCTAGGGCTTGTTTGAGGTATCATCAATTGCTCCCCAGCCCTTGGTTTAAGCAGGCTTGGGCAGGGGTTGAGTTGTTTTTTTAAATCAAGCTGGATTTACACGTGGCTGATCTTGGCTTGCACGTGAATGAGGCCTTTTTGATGGTTTTCAGCAATCATGACTTTCTCATTTTTCGCACACATTCCAGCCCACGTCTCTCAAGCTTTAAATGCTCAAATGGCTATTAGAACTGCCCTTTTCCACTGTTCAACTTCTCTACTGCTTCTCTCTTCTTGTGATTTCTTGACTTTCTGGTTTGGAGTTCTCTGATTCCTCGTTCAAGATCAAGTTTTGTGGGTTCGATTTGAAGATTTGCATTGCCCCCTTTCTTTTATTTTGCTCTAAGCTGCTGTTTGTTGCTCTTTCCTAACTAGGTACGCCTTTTTGTCCCTTTTTCACTTTTTCTCGTTCTGGATCCCTTGAATTTGAGGTAGCCATTGCATTTCTGGGCTTTTCGGTTCTTTTACTTTTGGAATCGAAACTACTGCTTGTCTCCTCTTCCCCACTTTGTGGACTGGTCTTCTATCGTGCGAATCCTAGCTGTTGGAAGCTACAGTGTTGACCCTAGGGTTATCAAGGAGTGCCTTACCTGTATCCCTTACCTCTACCATTCTTTCAACTTACCTTTCTCCTGCCCAACCATGTCTACCCCTTCCAGAGCTACTCGTTCCTCTACTTCTCTCTTAGGGGAAAGGTTTGCCGAAGAGGACACTAATTTAGGGGATGTGGGTGAAGAAATCGACAATTTCCCCGGTGTTGATATTGTCGATGCCGAGAAAAATACGGAGGAACCACCTCCATTGTCTTCTTTTGTGCCCCCTAATCCTAACAAAGGTAAGGGCAAGGTAAGTGGGGTAGGAGTCTCTGACAGTGCAGAGGGCACAGAGGCTGCCTTTAGGTATGCTGAGCTTGTAGGACCCAGTGAGATTGACTTTTCTCTTATGAAAATTCTCAGTGCTCGTTACGGTTTTTCTCCTGGTGTCCAGATAAATACACCCCATATGTTGCCCAGGTTCATAAGAAAGTCTGTTTCTTTGTGGTCGCTTTTGAGAATGGTATTCGCTTCCCTATGCATTCCTTCATCATGAGTGTTTTGCAACATTTTAACGTCTGCTCTGCTCAGCTCTCCCCTAATTTCTGGGGTGTACTAGTGGGTCTTCTAGTTTTTATCAAGAAACATGAGCTCGGGGTCCCCAACCTTTCCTTGCTTGTGGATATTTTTAATGTCAAGCTCATCTCATCAAAGGGTTTCTTATATATCTCCAAGCGAACCACGACTAGGCAGATCATTACTCACCTCCCGACCTCCCATAAGGGTTGGAAGAAATAATTCTTTTTCGTTGGGGGTACCAACTGGGAGTACAACCCTGCTGACAAGACTGATACTCTAAGTATCCCTAGAACTAGGTTTGCCCCTGATAACTTAGGTGAGTCCTTGCTCGAATTGATTGAGTTCTGGTTTGAAAATT